TAAAAGTGGTTTTTGGAAAAAAAACATAAAATATTATACCATACATGTTTTGTGTATGTATCAATTTTGTCAAAAAATTTCAAAATAATTATCTAAGTACTGAATCATTTAAAATAGCCTGCAAATTTTGCTATGACTTTTAAGGACTAGGCGGAAAATGAAGCTTTCTACGTACTGGAATGAGTCCGCAAAATAGCTATTCTTACAAAAAATAATATAGAAGTTAGGATAATAAAACTTACTATTTTACTACAAGAGGAGCAGTAAACCTTCCCCATGTCAATAGGTATACATTTCTTTGTATGGTATTATCCATATGGAGATACTTGCACTTGAAACTTTAGGCATTTTCACAAAAATTTGAACGGAGCTGTATGCACAGTACACAAAATCACAACTTCGAATGAATATGGACATCTTCAAAAATCGATACTTACTATAAATATTTATTGCTCTACTTCCAGGCAAGTAGGTCCCAAATTACGTACATACTCAGGTAGGTTAATGGTTGAATTAGGTTTTAATCACCAGTATGAATAGTGGTGCAATTTCCATAACAAGGCTCAGTGAAGGATCTTTCACGGTGGGTTTTCCGGTAATTACTCAAACTCAAAATCTCTTTATTTATCAATTTTATAGTTATAATACATACGGGTAGGGGAGTGAGGCCCCCCTCAAACAATACATACATAACATTTACTTAACCTAAGCACATGACCTATATACTAAAAACTCAGTGTGCGCAGCACACTGCGTGCCACATGCGCGCTTAGCGTGCCGTGTGGCACTACCTTTAGCTTGGCCGATGTTCTGGCCGACAAGCCACCGCCCTTTTCCCATCGGATCTGTTCTCAACGTTCCCTGGTTTCCCTTTCACGTTATTATGTGACCTTTCAGTCGTTGGTAAGTACCACGGATGGCGCGCATTGGGCCACTATACTGGCCCGCCAGGCAAGTAGGTCCCAATAAATTACGTACATACTCAGGTAGGTAGTTAATGGTTGAATTAGGTTTTAATCACCAGTATGAATAGTGGTGCAATTTCCATAACAAGGCTCAGTGAAGGATCTTTCACGGTGGGTTTTCCGGTAATTACGTACCTGCTGAATGGTTGAATATTTAAAAATTCTTTCTTTCATTGAAACCTTTTGTCTAAATTTGATAGATTTTATGCCCTATTTTCAGGTTTTCGAAGAAATATGCAGAATGAAATAAAAATGCATAAAATATGCAAAATATGCACTTTGCATATATGCCTTTCTCTAATCATAACCCAAGGAACTGACCGCTGAAATGATTTGGTTATAGCAGTGTAGGATTATGTTTATTATTCTTATTTGTTTTTTCGTTTCAACAATAGTTTTTTGTTTAGGTACAGAAAATGGAGCTGAATCTCTCGTTAGTCTCGTTTATCGAACAGATTTTCTTTGGGGATGATCTAAACCTCGATCTGAACATGGTGAATTGCAGTGAGTGAGTGAATGTTTACTTCTTTCATTGTGCCAGGCTACAACGCAACTGCAAAATCACAAAACACCAATACAAATTTCAAAAATAATAACAATAACATCAAAAAGCTGTAACCAAAAGATTAACCCAAGTCCAAAGCTGGGTTATAATCGGTTATAAGTGGTAAATACCAAAAGCAAATCAGCTGATATGTGACGTCACCTACTTTGGTTAAAACCGCGACGGCGGATATGCATTGGTTATAATAGTCCAGGAGGTGGCGCCAAAAACATGCAAAAGTTTTCGCAAGGCGGATATTTTCAAAATAGGTCATACTTTAGTGTTAGAATGCTAGTGTACAGTCAGCACTCACAGTTCCGGGACAGCTGGCTCTGGGACGCGGGCAAAGTTGTAATTTTAAGAAGAATCTAAACTGTTTTCTCAAAGCTCAAAACTTATAGAAATTTTGCACATTATATGTTTGAAGGTCACAGATAACGTATGTAAATCGTCAGACGTCTAGTTCGTTGCAAAAAGGGGGTCAGACGTCCTCAAAGTTTTTATTTTATGGCATTTTCTTCAAATATATTTGTCAAATACCTGCAAAAATATATTTTGACAGGACACCGAAGAAAATGCCATAAAATAAAAACTTTGAGGCCGTCTGACCCCCTTTTTGCAACGAACTAGACGTCTGACGATTTACATACGTTATCTGTGACCTTCAAACAGATAATGTGCAAAATTTCTATAAATTTTGAGCTTTGAGAAAACAGTTTAGATGCTTCTTGAAATTACAACTTTGCCCGCGTCCCAGAGCCAGCTGTCCCGGAACTGTGAGTGCTGACTGTACACTAGCATTCTAACACTAAAGTACGACCTATTTTGAAAATATCAACCTTGCGAAAACTCTTGCATGTTTTTGACGCCAGCTCCCCAACTATAACCAAATAATAATCATTCCAGGCTGAAAATCGCCTCTATACAAACACTGAATATAATTAACTTTGACACATTGTCAGATTTGTGTTCTCCATTTACATGCAAGAATCTACAAACTTCTTTCGCATCAAATTTAAACGCTTTAAGATGAACAGCTCTGACGAGGATTTCAATTTTCTGTTCTTTTTTTTTGTTATGTAATTTTTTGATGAATGAATAGGTTCGCTTCAAGTTAAGTAATTGAAAATAATTGAACAAATTATCGTATTTTTTAAAAAAAAATTGTTGTTACCTACCTGATATGAAGCTCGTAGGAAAAATTTTGTTCCTAACACGTGCGCAAAGTGTCTTTTCCGCACGCAAACACAGTTATACGAACGACGCGAAGCGGAGTTCGGCTAAGTGTGCGCACTTTGCGCACTTGTTAGGAAAATAACTATTTTCCGTATTAGTGAAACTTTCCAAACTAAAATGCGTGCGGAAAAGTGCACTCGTAGAAAAAATAACTATTTTTATTTAATATCTATTTTACATTTCTAAAATTTCAAATTCTAGTTCTTGTAATTGCATATTTTATTTGTTCGGTTGATTGTATCCAACACAAAACTTAAAATTAAGAAAATACGAAAATATGTATATGTGATGATCCAGAAATTTGACCCTATAATTACAAAGTCTTTACTGTAAAAATTTTAATTTTCATCAAATAATCAAAAACTTAATTCCGGTATTTTTAAATCTGTATCGATAAATTAAAAATAAAACCAACTAAACTATCGTATTACGACACCCGGAAGTCGTTCATCTAAATTAAATTCTTAAAAACTGATAAAACCGAGGTGGTGTCATCCTAAAATCCGATTCAATGATCTTTATTTAGCCAAGGCCTTTCCGTTTAACACACATTGAGTCGAATGAATTATGGATTCTTGAACCCAAAACGTCTTGACCTCAATAAATCAGATAATTGCGACATAATTAGTCGATTTTTGGGCTACAAAAATGATATAATATTCAAGGAAATTGCATCATTCTTTTAATAACAATGAGGCCGTCCAATGAAATTCGGATTCCTAAGTTAACGACCGCCTATATTGACGATTTGGGGGAAATTTAATAATAATTTTGTGGGGAGAGCGATTTGATATAAAACTCGCGGAAGATAGTTCCCAGTGATCTGAAGATAGTTCCCAGTAAATAGTTGCTAGAAGAGTTGAGTCGTCCATTTGAAGTAAAGTCTGCCCAGTTTCGCGAAAAGTTAGTTTTATGGCCTTTGGCCTCGGGTATAAATTAGCTTAGAAAATTTACGGAGAATCGTGAAAGTAATAACATTTTAAATTCGTTCAAATCAATTATGTGCGTGTAGCTAAATATTTTGAGTAGTTAATTAAATAATTTTACGTGTGTTTTATGGACAAAATGTAAGTACTTTATAGTGACAAGATTTATTTTGATGAACATGACTTTGTGTGAAATTTTACTAGAAAACTTTTGATTTTTAATTTAACGGAGGAACTTTATTACAACGAAATTAATAACTTGAGTGTTTTATGAAGGAAACATTATCGCATAACTTTAATTACCTTCAGATATAATGACATTTAAATGTGCAACAAAAATATGAAGTGTACTTACAATGCATTTAACAATATTCAATTTTGAGTTGGAAATTATGACTTAAACAGTTGGATTTATTAGCCAGGCATAGGAATCCGAAAATAGAATTTGTTCTGATAAACTATTAACGGCAATAGGAAATTTTGAAAAGAAAATTGAAGACATAAAATAGAATTGTTTTCTTGAAATATTGGAATGTTGTTAAAAAGGAAACTTATAATTGAAATTGTTCTGATAAACCATTAACTGCAATAGGAAATTTTGAAAAGAAATTTGATGACATAAATTAGAAATGTTTTCTTAAAATATTGGACACTTGTTAAAAGGAAACTTATACTAGAATTTGTTCATGAAATAGAATTGTCTTAGAATATGGGAAAGCCGTTAAAAGAATTTATTGTCCATGGAATGAATTTTGAATTAGGGAGTTTATTTTACAAGTAGGGGTTATTGTAAGACCTTATGAGAATAAATTAGTTGTTAAACCAATAGGTAATTATTTTGGGTTTTTATAAGTAATGGACTTAGAGATTTTAAGGAATTATTTGACTAGGTAAAGGGTAGTTATTAGGAATGATTTCGATGTAGTAAAATAAATAGAAATATTATTTTGAGAAATAGTATGAATAGGGCGTTTCGTATTAAGTAGGCATATTTCAGTGGTCCGTATAATAACAATATAGAACGGATGTGAAGTATTAATTTTACAGACTTAAAGAAGGATGTAAAGTATTGGGAGATATTTGGCTAATTGATTTTTGAGTTTTATGTGAAATAAAATATAATTTAGTACACCTCCTTAGTTTGTTTCTCTCTCTTGCAAATAGACCCTCGTCCACAGATTTTAGATAGCAAGCTCCAAGTATATAAACACCATCAATATACCGCTCGCCATTTACCATCTAACTAAATTACATAGTGTACTTGGGGCGTTTTGCTACATATACATAACAAAATTATCCAATGACAACTTGAAAAAACTTGTTTATTGTCCATCTTCTACTATAATTACTCTATTTCCATTCTATTAATTATGGTTTTATGTATTGACATAAAAATTTTCAACAACTTAATTTTCTTTCCATTGGAGTAGATTGTGCACTCATTAGTAGTTCATCAAATGCTGATATTTCCGGTTTAGTCACCAATTGTGTTTTATTTATATCTTTTTTCTTCTTTTTAGGAGCATCTGCCTTGCTAATTCTTCTTTCAAGCCTCGTGGCGGTTTTCATACGTTTTTTCAATTCCATTTCCTCCTCCGCTATAATACGTTTATCGTCTATTGAATAAAAATATTAATAATTTTAAAAAACGCACCTACAAGTTCCTATAAAGTTTTTGGAATAAACTCTATTATAATCAAAGATATTTGATTATATTGGACTTCGAACTTCGTTTTCAAATAATAAACAAAAATTCGTAATTTTGTCCATTATAAGAGGAGTTATTTTAAAAATTCCTTGAAAATAAAATAAAAAATGCACTATGTATAATATAGTCGCGCTGGCAGTTTAAATATTTGACGGTTCTATATTAAGTTCGCAAAATTGGGAATGTAGTAAACATTTATTGAATTAAAACTCTAAAATCTTATCACCTTCGTTTTCCTTCTTTAAATTTTCAATATCCTTCAAAAGTTTGAATCTTTTTTGTCTTTGCATCATCAGTTGGTTCTTTTCGTGACACAATTGAGCCGTCAGATCGTTTTTTTCTTTTTCGAGGGTTGAAAGCACTTTTGCCATTTCCGATTCTATCTGAATTTTATTAATAAATGTATGACAATGTTCTTATAATAATAATAAGTTGAAAATTTACCGTTACCCGAACTTCCTTTTCATTCCTTATCCATATTATTTGTTTATTTATGGTTTCCAGTTGTGTTTCCAGCATTTCTTTCTCAACATTTAATCGAATTAGTTCATCCGCTTCTTGTTTTTTCTTTAAAGCAAGTTTTGGTTGTTTTTTAGCAATACTTTCTGTAGTTTCTTTAATTTTCTGGTCAAGGTTATTAGCTATGCAAACTTCACGACTTGTATCCAACAAGCGATGCCCCAATTGTATAATGTCGGCTAGTCTAAAAAAAAAACAATTTTGGTTGGACAGTTTTTGAAAATCTAACACAAAAATTCGTACTTTTTTCTTGCCTTATTCAATTGCAAATTGCCCTTTTGTTTCCGGTCCTTGAGATTAGCTTTTTTCTTCTCAAGTTCCTCCTCACGTCTTCTATTTTTGTCCTGGTTTAAGTTCAATTCTTGCTGCAATGAAACCCTCTTAGACTTGAGCTGGGCTACTCTGTTTTTCCTGAGTTGTTCCACTTTTAGTGCATCTTTTTCCTCTTTCAAAATATTTGCAATTGATTGAGACTGAGATTCCTTTGAAAAAATATTATAAATTGTTAAGTAGGTAACTATTGGTAATTATTACCTACCTCTCGAAATACTTTGAGCATGTTTTTTCGTGCGTCCATCTCTTGCGCAAGTTTGCTCAAGTCCCAAGTTTCCCAATCCGCAAATTTTGCAAATTCTTCCTTCTTTGCCTTGCCCCATGGTGCACTACTACCACTCTCACATTTCTAAAAAAATTAATTTAAGAAGAGGAGTCCGCCATAATATTCAATAAAATTTCACAATCAAATCTTTCTAATACCTACTTCTTAAAATTTGAAAACATCAATAAATCTTTATAAGAGCCCTGCTTCAATAGAATACAAAATCTTCAACTTTCAACCAAAAATCATTTAACTCGACAGAAAAATGTCATTCATAGATTATTACGCTTTTATCATTTAATACCTAAATTACAAAATTCAAACACCCTTTTAATATTGTTTCAATCATAAAACCTTCACCCAAAATCATGAAACTCGGCAGAACAACAGTAATCATAATGTTATTTAATGAACACATTTCATTTAAAAGGGTTGTGACCCAAAAATGAAAGATTTAGTGCAAAAAAATCTAAGAATAAATATTTAAACCGCATCTTGCTACAATATACCGTTTTTGAATCAGAGCAGTTTGAAGTTACAACTAGGTGTTTGTGACGTCACACTGGATTATCAGGGACAGTATTAACACGTGTAAGAATATTCCAAAACAAAAGACAATTATCTCCTAAAGCGAATTGCAACCACTCAAAGTATAGGGTACGAGGTACGATTCACTGACGACTGAACGAAGAGAAAACTGCGATTTCGGTGGTTGTGACATCACAAGCTCCTGCATAATTTATCTTCACAAGGAATTTTCTCGAAGACTATCTTGAATATAGGACTGCGGTTTTCACGAGAGATCTTAGAATTTTTTTCTTAGTCTGAATTACCTACATGTAGGTAAAACTTCTTGATTCGCGACCGTCAACTGATAATACGTTTCAAATTTTTACGGACACGATTCGATTCTAGAAGCGAAATTGAGCTGGATAGCTCGAGGCAAAAATTCAGCTCTGTACTGTCTATAATGATCACTATGTATACATAGTGGTTATTATGTCATTGGTTATTATAGACCATATTGTAAACAATGTACCTATAATGTCTACTCTTATCTTAATTTTCAATGACTGTCGACTGTAAACTATAATAGTGTCACAATCCCTACGTTTCGTCCTGGGACGTCACAACAGGAGCGTGACCTGGGGGCGTAGGTGGGAGGTTCAGGCAGAGAGAAACTCGCTTGGTCGGTATAGGTACAATAGGATATGTATTGAATAATAATAATATTACCCTAGAGATAGTATCATGGCGTCTTTTCTACGGAGGGACGTACTACTTATAGGCCACTCTGTATTATGTACACTCTGTACGCTTGGTGTGACTGAAGACTGAAGCTCGGTTTGAGACAGGTCCAGAAGGGCGTTTCCCAATAAAGGTAGTTTGCACTGGACCTAGTCCCTCTGTTCAATACTCCCAGAAGGGCGTTTTCCATTAAAGGTAGTTTGCACTGGGAGGAGACTTAGCTGAGGGGCTTTTCCCAACTGAGGTACTTTGCATTAGCCTTAGTCTGCCGGTAATGAATTTCGGCGCGGTATTTATATCAAATTAATGCTGACTCGTCGACACATTTTAGTAAAATTGATGTACAAAGTGGTATTTACTTGAGTAGTTGACAATAGCTCTCGACTAGGTACTCGATTGTAATTTGAAATTTGCTTAAATAGGTACAGGTCCCCTATTCGATCGAATTCGCGTGATTTCGATACGTTTAACTAGATTCCACTCTCACCATTTCTAATAAATATATTTATTTGTTTAATCGGAGATGTCGCAATTCTCCTGATTATTGGGGTCAACGGAAACTCGCGTCGACCATAAATAAATAATGTTTCTTAACCCTCTCCGTCGTTAACGCCCGGTCTAACAGACCGACTTAAAGTAGGTACGTTCCGCCGATAACTACCGAACCCACTGTTGTAATGCGCATGCGTCTCAGTAGCTCCATATTCTTGGTATCGGACTCCGGTACTACAGAACTATTGAAGTACGACCCCTCGTAGTTTTATTTTTGGGGGTGCGGTATTACATAAAATTTTGTTGTGTGTGTTAATTGGAAAATTTCTTTAGGTAAAGTTCATTGTTATAAAAATCTATATTTTGTCTAGTGTTTAGTTAACTTTTTGTAGCGCGCATGAACTGTAAAGGCACAAGAACGAATTTAGTACTAGAAAATTGCTGTTTTCTATTTTTGGTGTCACAGACCGGTGTTAACCTCTGGTAATTTTTTTCTCTATTGAGGTCAAATATTATGCCGGTAAGACTGATTTAATGCTTTAAAAGGTGCAATTTTTTCATCCAACGTACAGTAAATGGTTTGTATTACTTAAAAAAAGTTACTTTTCACCACTTTCAAACTTTCAAAAATGGTTTTGACTCGAAATTGGTTTTAACAGATTTCGGTCTAGTCTGGTAGACCGACGTTAAAGTTTTTGTTACCTACATTTAACCCATGCTAACAACCGAGGGTTGAATGAATCTGTCATTTGGTCCGCACAATTTAACTAGATACTTTAGCCTTGCTTTTATAATGTCTTTCCGGTAATTTATGGGTTCATCTACAGGTTCAGGAACCTCTCCAGTTATTTATTTGAGAACTTTGAAATTTTCCGTTGTCCGACGTAAACAAGTAGGAACCTAATTTCTTCGAATAAAAATTTTAATTTGAGTTTTATAAAAGTTTGTCCCTGCAGAAATCACAAACCAGTCAAAGCGAATTTCATTGGTTGACAACAGTCAGAAAACTATTATGTTCTGAATTTAAATAAAAGACTTACCTTGTTGTAGGTTATTAAATATACCTAAATTCCGCAACTTTATGTGGGACCTTGTAGGAGACTTCACGAAAACCCATGCAAATACTGACTGACTGATTGTTACCTCAGACAACTTGTCTAGCAGGTCTAGCACATGGTGGTTTCGATAATCTCATACATAACAAAAACTATTTTTTTTACTACTAACCTGAGAAATAGACATTATTCAATCTATTTTTCTAAAGAAAAAATTGAATTTCTCTCCCTAGGTTAATACTGAAAATAATGAAAAAATACCTAGGTCAATAACAAAAATGACGTCATGACGCAAGGATATTGTCATGTTTCTATTGGTTCAATTTCAATTTCATACAATTTGAAAAAAAATACAGGTTTCTGTAGGTACATAGAAGTTATATAAGCTGTTGATAGAGGGCAGCACTTTCAAGAGGGCGTTCACAAAACATAATTAGAACACAGATTTTAATAGTAGATTATACCACGAGTCAATAATGATAGCTATTATTCCCGAGGAAATATTTACGAACCGAGCCGCGTTAGCGGCGAGGGAGTAACATTCCGAGGAAATATTAGCCATTATTGCGAGTAGTATACTCTACTTTATATAGATCAACAACAAATTTAATAATTTCAGATTTTGAATGAACTATTTCATTTGACAAACTCGGACTTTTGGGATAATTTATATGGTTTCCATGACTATTTACTTGACAACGGGAATAATGACCATTAATCCCGCGCGGGAATAATGAATGCCATTATACTGCAAAAATCACAAGTATAATACTTACATTATATTGTAATCGTATATAAACAAATTTTTTATTTTCTACTAGCAGTAGTAAAAAAAATTCTATATATTCCTCGGTAGAGAAAGTCATTATAAACCTCAAGCATTATAAACCTCGGCGCTGCGCGCCTCGGTTCATAAAAGCTTTCGGTATATAATGACCAACTCTCTACCTAGGTATATAATATACTATTATTACGACTAATGTATAATGTGCGTATTATATTTGTGATTTTGGCAATATAATGACATATGTTATTCTTCCAGGGATAATGACGAGTATAGCGGGATTAATGGTCATTATTCCACAAAAGTGTCAGTGTCAAACGTGTAGTGCTTGTGGATTTGTATTGAAAATAATGAGGCGGATGAAATTTGTTCATTGAAAATCTCAAATAAATTAATTTGTCGTAAATAAAGTAGAGTATACTACTCGCAATAATGGCTATTCACCATATTAGTTAGGTTAGAATCGCAAATTGGCGCGGGTTCCTAGTTCAAAAATTAATACATTGATGTCTTATGGGGACTCAATTTTAAAAGCGTCTGTAGACGTGACAGAACGTTTGTTAGGGAAGTGAGTTGTATAAATAGTTTTTTTAATATGTTAATTAACTGAGAGAGTGTTTTAAAGTTGAATAAACATTGTTTAAAATAAAAATATTACCAATTTAAGAAGCCGATGTTTGTATAAAATACGTATGTCGTTGCTTGATCTATAAGTATATATATGGGTACCTATAATTATAATAAAATAAAAGTGTACCTACATACTTGGTTAGTAAATGTACTTCAATAATCCAAAAAAAATGGAAAAACAAATGACTGAACTAGTGATAAATAAATAAATAAACAATTCACCAACAATCATAACACAACACACAACCTCACTTTCTTACAGCTGGTTTTAGACCCGACGTACGTCCACCGAAAACAGACACTGTTAATTAAAATCATTTGTATTTTTAATTCATAAGTCTAAAAAAACAATTAGAGCATGAATTATACAGAACTATGTTCAACGTTTGACGTATAATAAGTTCAAATACTAAGAAATGCCCAGAACCCAAGATATTCCCGTCTGAAAATCACTCTTTTGAATCCCCCATAAGAAATACATTGGTGTCAAATTTGTTGAAATGTGTTTAGGAACCCATTTTAAATTTCGCGCCCGATTTTTCCTAACCTAACTAATATGGTGAATTATTCCCTCGGAATGTTACTCCCTCGCCCCTAACGCGGCTCATCAGTTCCTAATAATCCTCGGGAATAATAGCTATCATTATTGACTCGTGGTATAATCTACTATTAGTTAATTCACTCTGACTGGTTTGTGATTTCTGCAGAAACAGACCTATAATTGTATCTTGATTTACTTGCTACGAAAATTATTTCCTACAAACAACGCGAAACAAGAAGAGATGTTTTGTGCAATAAAAACAAATCTGAAATTTTATGCTACTATACTTACAAGTTTATCCATTTTCTGCCAATTTTTACCGGTCTTCAATTATGCGCCTTGGCTCGGCACAAATTCCCTTCCACAAAAGATATTTTTAATATTTGAATAGACCTATCCACAGCCTCATCTATTTTACCAGACAAAGAGGTAATAATACGAAAACTTTATTAGATAGAAAAAGACGCAGAACGCTTATTGCGCAAGACGAAGCAAAACGTACCAAATTATGTTAGACTTACGTATAGCAATCCGTTATTATTTGCACGGGATAAAAAAGGAAGGAGGAAAATCGCGTGACTTGCAACCTATTTGTCAATCAAAAACACAAACAATTGAAAATCGATCACTTGTCAAGCTACGTCAAGTTGAATATCAAGCATAATTTTATCCTTGTCAGACCACAGGCAATAAACAAGGACAAGGGGATGCCTAACGTGCAAAAGGATTACTTCCTGTACTAGTTAGCCAATAAAAATACATTGCCTCGTGTTGCGCGCGCATACAGGTAAAAGGTGTTTTTTCTCGCTTAAATTGGTTGAACCTAATTCAAAACATTACATTTTCGCGTTGAACCAATGACGTCATAACAAAACTGTTTGAGAATATTTTGAAACGAGATTTCGCCAGTGATGTGCCTGTAGACAATGTCAACGTAAACAATTGATTGTCTACGCGTAGACAATTCGAATTGTTTACGTGAGCATTTGTCTACACATTGTCTACATGCGGCGTAAACAATAACTTATTTAAAAAAATTCGAAAAAAAATATCAAAAGTTACTATACTGTCACTATCACTTCGATATTAGCATTCACTGATTATAAAATATCAGAAAATTAAAAAAAAGGAAAGTGTGAGGTTAGAATTAAACGTCATTTATATTATTCTACATTGTTGACACGTTGTCTACATTGTCTACACGTAAAGTAGACAATGAAAGTCTACGTGTAGACGCACATCCCTGGATTTCGCCTCGGTTCAAAAACAAACGCATGCGCATTGACAGTTTGTTGTTTATGTTTATATTTGTGTTGTGTCTTTTGTAGCAGGTTATAGAATGATGAACAGAACACTCTTAAATTTTTTGAGAAATAGAAAATAGGCCATTAGGGCTATGGCTAATAACCAGAAAAAAAAAAACAGACAAAAATCCTAGGTTAGGTATGTATGGTTAAATTCTGGTTTGAAAACCTCATTTTTTCTCGAATGAAAGTAATGGCGTCATTTTTAAATAGGTTCAAAACAGATTTCAAAAACATTTCGAACTGTTGGGGTCGAGAAAAAACACCTAAAAATAAATAGGTCTATTGCCCATTCAAAATTCGAAATAAAATCGCTTTTTTCAGTTATCGGATGTGACAGCTCTGTGGTCAGTGGACTGGCACTTTTCAGAACTCACCGATCAACTGGTTAAGGTCGAACACTTGACACAGAATTGATCCATGTTCCTAGGAATATAGGCCCTGTTCGTTTTTGTCATCTTTTTCGTCGATTTGCTCCGCAATTTTGACAGGCACGTGACTGGATCAGTCCATGCATGTGCAACTCTAGGTGGGTTCGGCTTGCGCACTCCGAGTGACTCCATTCGTACTCTAGCCGTTCGGGTTAAGGTTCGGGTATTGCTTTTTACCGTATTAGGGGTGACTCCATTAGCTCTGTTCACTCCACTCCAACTCCGCGCTGAATAGCCGAAAACATAGAAACTGGACACGCTTACCCTGGGGTTAAAACTAACCCGGAGGTGACTCGCTATTGAGAAACCGGCCCTAAAAGCTTGCGACTACAGACGGCAGATGCGCTGTCGTCTAAAGTCTGTTTTTTTTTAAAGATAATTCCCCAAGTCAAAAATTTAGTAACTATGTTGGCAATACAAGCCTTTTCTACGTAAAAAATTTGAAAGCATTGACAATTTTACATTGTATTACCAACATAATGTCATTTTGACTTTTATCTTTAAAAAAAACAGATTTTAATGCTTTTGTTAGATTTATACATCAAAAGTACAGATTATTGTTTATTTGTTTTAAAAAGCTTCCAACAATTAAAAAAAAAGTCGTGTACCCCGCTAACATATAATTGCCAGTAGTACGATTTGAAATTTCAGTTCTTTTTCAAAACAAATATCCCATGCTTTTGACATGTGGCAGCGTCGCTTCACTTTTTTTTATCATATTTTGACAAATTTTGACATTTTCCGCTTTTATTCAATAATTTGAATTAGAGATTGAAAATTTTCTCCGTTCAAAGCAAAATGGTTTTATCTTCATCTTGTTGTGTAGCAATGTTCGCGTTGACCAGCACTCACCATGTTGAGTGATTAGTCGGCGGCTTTGTTGAAAACAGATGAAACAAGGATGAAACTCAGCCCTTAGGCCAATCAGAACTGTTCTACCCTCAATGGTCTACCTTATGTATTCCACTTGTTGGAACAAAGCCACTTACTAGGGATGTTGATATCGAAAAAAAATATCGATATATATATCATATCGATAATTAAAATTAATATTGCCTCGAGCGTTTGATATATCGTTGAAAAATATCGATATTTCGATATATCGCCAAAATAATTAAATGCTCAATTAAGGGTCGGTTTCTCAAAGCGAGTCACCTTCGAGGTAAGCGTATCCAGTTGCTATGTTAACCCTGGAGTTATGCTTAACCAAGGGGTGACTTGCTATTGGGAAACCGGCCCTAAGCAGGGATGTCGATTTTTAATCGATACTTTTGAAGATCGATTTTTTCGATACGATTAATCGATTTTTTGAATCGATTTTTTCACTATCGATATTTTTTATAATCGATTCTTTTTTTCTTGAATCGATCTTAACCATTTTTTGATCTCCATGAGTACTTTTTATTTTTTATTTCGATATTATATGTATATTTATTTATGTTTCATGAAGATTTTTTTAAATATTTTGTTCGATTTAAGAATTTATTATTAATTCAACGTTTTTGGGAAAAGACTATATCTATTTTTGTCAAGATACTCGAGTTTTCTGAACAACAATATCAATACCAGAATCGAAAATCGATTCTTCAAGAATCGATTCTTTTATGACCGATTTTTTCTTGAATCGATTTTTTGATTACGATCCTGAATCGATCCTAACAATCGATTCTTTTGTGAAAGATCGACATCCCTGGCCCTAAGTAGAAGTATTATTGTCTGTACCTGTCATGTACCTATCCACAGCCTCATCTATTTTACCAGACAAAGAGGTAATAATACGAAAACTTTATTAGATAGAAAAAGACGTAGAACGCTTATTGCGCAAGACGAAGCAAAACGTACCAAATTATGTGTATGTGTACACCGTGAAAGGGTTTTTTTACAAGCAAGTTATGAATAAACAAAATATTATTAATTATTACCAAAACGAATATTTTTCATTTTCATTTGTTCTGAATGTCTAATGTCATTGCTTGTCTACAACTGTCACTAGGCCACTATAGAAACTTTTTTTTTTTTATATATCGCTCTACTTGCTTTGGATCGCTTGAGATGAAACCTCCTAATCCAAATTATTGCCTTGAAAAGTTCTTAGAGCGTAGAGCAGTGAATTTTTTTTGAATTGTGCTCGATAAATATAACGAGTACCGATAGTCAACTTTTAATATCGATATACCGATATATCGAAACAAAAAATATCGGTCGATATTATCGATATATCGGAAGAAAAATATCATCCATTCGATATATCGATATTTATTCAACATCCCTACCACTTACTAATCACTCAACATGTTGAGTGCTGGGCCGAGTTCAGAAATAACGCACAGGGCGAGTGCGATTTTATGAGTGTGCCTGAATTCACAATTGGCCATTATGGGCCCATAGCACTGTCTAGCATTTTTGAACAGCTAGGGCACAGCCTCCTACATTTAACAAGCCATGAAGTTAAAAAGGCAACACCGCAATCTTACCGCCAAGTGGTGCTGGTGGTGTTTGTTTTTATAAATATATATTTTTTATTTTAATAATATGAATCACGAAAAATGCATAATTTATTGTACTAAAGGGCCAAAAACAGTAATTCAATGAATAATATAACTATTTGTGTAAATAAGAACAGTAAATAATTGATTTAAATGATTATATTTCTAGAGTCTAAAGTGTTATAGGCCTATGTTTCAGTATGTCTTTTGAAAAATCTAACTTTTTCTTTCTTCGGGATTTTTTCGGAAGGCAGGTCCATTCAAATACTTGAGCTGATTTTCGAAAATAAGAGGTACCTACTTTTAAGAGTTGGACGTTTCAGTTTGAACTCTCGAACTACGCCTTTATCCTTGTTTGTTTCAAATCTAATTATTTCGGTTTCTTCAAAATGTTTACAACACACCACAGAATTTTTCGTTATTGTATAATCTCGGGTATAATTATCTTGGTGTATTGCTTTCATCCACATTTTTTGCAATTCAGAATTTTTTTGGAAATGAAAATGTTTGCATTTCTTCAGTTTTTAAGGAACTCCTAATAGTTCGATTTGCACCCAGGAACACAGTAGTTTCATGGCATCTGGAACAAGTTTAAATATCTTAGGTAATATATCGAGACATATGCTCTTGCAAACAAATATTAATATTGTTTTTATTGTTTTATCTCACCTTACCTTCATTTTTGCTACTGTACCCATTTGCTAAAAAATTGCAATCAAAGCACAAAGGAACAGGTATCAACTAAATATGGGCAATATATTGGTGTGTTTCTATCCACTTTTTCGTCAATAATGCCCACAAAAATACTAAACTGCAACAATACACAATGAAACCAATACACAGAAACACATAACCCAATAACAAAATAGCACCATACGCGACGTTGCCGTCATTTCCAACTTCATGGCTTGTTAAGTATAGGAGGCAGTGGCTAGGGCGTCGCACCGGTGTCACACTCACACTGGGTGTGTCTTTCCTGAACTCGCCCCTGGTGAACGCGATTATAAGTGAAAGCCGAGGGAACAGAGTAAAAATGCATGGAATTCCTGAAAATGATGGCTATTCAGCACGGAGTTGGAGTGGAGTAAGAACAGATTTTTGTCAGGTGATCTAGGAGTGATTAAAGTGAAAAATTAATACACGAACGACCGGAACGGTTGGAGCAAAAATGTCAAACAGCTGATTTGTTTTATTTCAAAACAACAAACAACAAAAGAACAGTCAACTGTGACGTTCTGTGCCTCTGTTTAACTTTGTCAAGGACGATTTTTAATTTTTTTATTTACGACTAATGTATAATGTGCGTATTATATTTGTGATTTTGGCAGTATAATGACATATGTTATTCCTCCAGGGATTAATGACGAGTAGCGGGATTAATGGTCATTCTTCCACAAAAGTGTCAAACGTGTAGTGCTTGTGGATTTGTATTGAAAATTATGAGACGGATGAAATTTGTTCATTGAAAATCTCAAATAAATTAATTTGTCGTAAATAAAGTAGAGTATACTACTCGCAATAATGGCTATTATTCCCTCGGAATGTTACTCCCTCGCCGCTAACGCGGCTCAGTTCGTAATAATCCTCGGGAATAATAGCTATCATTATTGACTCGTGGTATAATCTACTATTGTAATAACGTTTTTGTGGTAATAACCAAAACATTTCAACACAATAAGCTTGACAGTTTACACATTTCACTTCTGCGCATGCTTGCTCTAAAAAATTCTCTTTCCGAGGTGGAACTTTACTCCACTCCGTATAGTCGAACGCTAAGGCCCGGTACTTTCACCTCAGTATAAATATAATTTATTCGGCGAATAACTATCTATCGGATAAGTAAACCAGAGGTTGCTATCTGTAGTATATCTCCGAGGAGTATTTTCAGATAAAAATATCCTCGGGCTAACAATCCGTTGCAGGTACCTTCAGTATTTCGGCAATGCTAGTGTTACCAACCAAAGAAAACGAAAAGTGAAAAAAACTTATGGGAAGTTGAATGCTTCAGATAAAGATAGAGTAGTTGTATTCCTTTCAAGAGCTTGAAACACTCGAGCTACTCGCTTCGGTGCTTAGTCGCCCCCGATTTGCAGGGAACATATGCGTGGTGCAACAAACACTTTTCGAAAGGAATAAGCGCGTGAAGCCCCGGAGCTGTTCCGGAGCTCCTCCTAAGTGTGAAAGGAATACAACTTATATCTCTTGTCTAGTTGCTTGTTTTTGTCGTGCCGCCGCATTCCACTCGTCATTTGAGTGATTTGTGGTGGATTTGAGTTTGACATTCATTTGTTTATGTTTTTTTTTTTGGAGAGAGAAGGTGCGTTTATGTTAAATAATTTTTGTATCGTGTAGTGGGAGTGGCTGATCAATCTTCCATTAGTCGCGCGTGTAGGTATCTGAGAGATACATGCCTATTATTTTTGCAAATAAATCAAAAAGGAAAAACCCTATAATATTATGGCTTCTAGTAGTCCTTAGGCACCCTATACTAATTACTTTCTCAAAATTACATGGTCGTACCTCTAGGTACCTGGAAATTTGGAATAGGCTCGTTCAGCATATTTTTTTTATTACATATTCTAAAAGAGCGTATTGAGTTTAGCAGTTGTGCAAAATTTCATAATTTTCTGAGCCCTGCTTGTTCATATTTAAATAAATTATCAAAACGACACAAATTTGAAAGTTTTGAATCACGCGGTGACGTCACTGCATCTCTCACGTTGGTCGTATGACGGCCTTTAGCCCGTCTTGACTCGAGAGATGACGTCATACCATCTTTCAGCGATGAATGTTTTAATATTCAAAGCCGCATAACTTTTTTAATATTTATCCAATTGAGCTGAATTTTTTTTTGTCTGCTATATGTGAGTAATACTCCATAAAAATTTCAAAAAACGTGGTTAATGAAACTTCACTGAACGAGCCTATTTCCAAAAAACTTCAGGTGCGCTCGGCTTGGAACCTGACTGATACAACGCGGCTATTCTTACAAAAAATAAAACTTTTAAACTTCAGAGAAATGTGTTGAGTTTTTTCCCTTTGCTATTCCATCCCCAGTCATGTTTTGAAGGGTATCATCAGCAAGGGGGTTTCAAGCGCAAATATTGAAATTTGAAATACTAAGTACAAAAATGAAATTGTAAATAACAAAAAAAAAACACACGAATTTTTAAAACAAACACAAATCTTAGAAATTTACGTCATCAGAATTCTGTGTTGTCACCTATCAGAGTAAACACACTGCGCGAGGAGCTATTCGGCAGATAAAACCGGTTATTCTTAGGTCTGACCACAGGATACGTTAACTAAAGGTTAGCCCGCATTTATCTGAAAGATATCACTATAGGAAAGTGAAAATACGCTCGTTTTTCTTATCTCTAGGATATTCTCTAATCTGGAGAATAAATATCGCTATCTGCAAATGAAAGTACCGCACCTAATAATGGAGTTACCCCTAACCATTGAACTAAACAAACACACTGGAACGGGCGCACTGCTTTATGCTAGTGTGTCGAATTTTGATATATGCAACCCAGCAATACAGAGGGATTGTTGTCCCGCTCGCACTCACTGCGATTAACGTTTTTCATTAACCCAATGATCCACTTCAAACAGCTGCGCTCAATAGCCGCCATAGTGCAGAGAGAGATGCAAATCCCTCTTGTTTGTTGTCCTTCCTGGCACAAACCCTTACATTATAAACATTATGCAGCCACTGTTCCAGTGTATTTGTTTAGTTCATTGCCCTTGCCCTTAACACGCTAAAAAGCAAAACCCGAACGGCTGGAGTGCGAATGGAGTCACTCGGAATGAGCAAGCCGTACCCACCCGTCATTGCTCGCTAATAGTTGTATTCCTTTCACACCTAGGGGGAGCTCCGGAACAGCTTCGGGGCTTTACGCGCTTATTCCTTTCGAAAAGTGTTTGTTGCACCTGAAACGCCAAGCCCGAATTTAACCATTTGAATGCACGAAAGCCAGCGCATCTGTTCCTTTCAAATCTGGGTCGACTAACATCGGAGCGAGTAGCTCTAGTGTTTTAAACTCTTGAAAGGAATACAACTATTGAGAAACCGGCCCTTAGCCATTGTTCCGAATGCATGGAACATAGCTCTTGCGTCACAATTCAGTGGCGTAGACGGGTCAGGGTTGCACTTTGAACTTTGCGTTTGTTGTTGTCAATGTCAAATTTAGGTTAGTTTTAAGGGTCACCTTTTTGTGTTTTTTTAAAAAAATAATGCAAAAAAATACAGTAAAATGCAGAATAGGGCCTTCGATTTTGAACGCGGACCTTTCACAATTACACGCGGAATCCAGACGGTTGCTTGACAATGGTGCGGACTACTTGCATTTGGACGTTATGGATGGTCACTTTGTTCCTAACCTCACTTTTGGCCACCCTTTAGTGAAATGCCTAAGAAAAAAGATTCCCAACGCTTTTTTCGAGACACACATGATGGTTCAGGAACCTCAAAAGGTATACTTTACATTATAGACAGATTCAGATACAATCAACAACTTTTTATAAATTGAAAACAACTTTTTCCTTATTTATTTCAAGTGGATAGAACCTATGGCTGATGCAGGCGTTAGCCAATACACATTTCACATAGAACCAGTGATAAATGACGTGCTTCCAATTTGTCGTAAGATCCGTGAAGCTGGGATGAAAGTGGGGCTTGCCCTCAAGCCCGGTACAGGGATCGAAGCTGTAAGACAATATATCGATCATGCAGACATGATTTTAATAATGACTGTAGAACCAGGTAATACTTTTACTATTATGTTTTTTTTTTCTTGTAAGTTAAAGCAAAAATTAATAATATTAATTCTTTTCCTTCAGTTAGTTTACTTGGATTTAAGGGTAAAATCCCTCCTGGGAGAGTAGGTAATAATAATTATTGGTGTTATTGCCTTCCTCAATAAGGAATTGATTTTATTATTTGAGTGTAATTGTTATTCTCATCGAGCTTATGATGATTAAAAATTTTCTATATTAGGATTTGGCGGACAGAAATTTATGGCCGACATGATGCCTAAAGTTCAGTGGTTGAGACACAATTATCCGTTACTCGATATTGAAGTTGATGGTGGTGTAGGATTAAATACAATTACAGCATGTGCAGAGGTAATATCCCAAGTAATATCCAGTTTGTTTTTAAGGATGTTCTCCCATAATGGCAATTGTGATTGAATTTGATGTCTATAATAGATGTTTTTCAGTAGGTCAGAGATCAGTCCATGAATACCATAGTACCAGTTTTTACTGCCATAAAGTCTGCCTCTCTATCATACCTCTCTATTCAAAAACATTTTTAATATGAAATCCTCTCTACCACTAAACTAACTCAAATGTACAGGTGCGATTCTATAAGTGTGAATATCCATTATCAGGACGAGTTGTATTGAAACACTTCGAGAGGAATCCATGGACTAAATAGTTATGTTGTGATGGTGGAATCAGATTTTTTTTTTTTTTTTTTAAAGATGTAATTTCTTTTAGAGATGCTCCAAAGCGCCTTTTTTCTGATTCGGCCGAATACCGAATCGGTTTCAATTTTGCAGTGATTCGGCCGAAGCTTCGACCGAATCACAAATATTAAGGGATTTGTTTATAAACAAAACAAAAAAAACACCAATATTGCTTGAAATACCTATTCAATCAACATGTATTTGAATTGTTGGCTTGACACTCTAGAGATAAGAAACTTGGAAAATATGTAACAGAGGGGAAGATACAGAGAATGGCAGCAAAGTTTTAACACTCTGTTCGGAATTCCATTAGGTCCCTCTCTCCGATTTATGTCGAGTTCAGAGAGCGATTTTTCAATGTCATATGCAGTGATCTGAATGTCAGAAATTGATTGAAAGGTGTGTGTGGAAGAAAAACTTGCATCAGAAATGGTTATAGAATTATAAACTGATGACAAGAAATCAGCAAAGAGGTTGGCTATGTTACAACCATTATCAGCCTTATTTGAGTCAAAAAACATTTCCCCAGGGATGGAGCCTTGATTTGACTGCGAACGAACATAGTTCCAAAAGTACCCGGCATTCTCCTTGATAGAACATTCAATGTTTGTTATTTAAAGACTGTAGCATTCCTTGGACAGGGATAAGCCAGTGGCGGCTCGTGACAATCCAAACTGGTGAGGCCCATGGCCCATCAAGTTAACCGGTTAACCCAAACAAAATTTTCAAGTGTTACGCCCAAATTTTGACCCAAAATTTCATTAAAAGAACATCTCGAACATGTATACTTCTAATGAAAATTTTCATTTCTTACAGTTGCAAAACAACAGCAGTAGGTACATAATTCTTATTTTAATACAAATATTGAGTTTCAAATTAACAAAATAAATTCCAAAAAACATTTTTTTTAACCCGCAACAGACCAAAATAAAAAGTATGAGCCAATTAACCAATTAAACACTTGTCGCAGCAGCAAGAGATGCAAGGTTTCTTATTAACAAGCCCAAAATTGTGCGCCTCAATGCCTATGAAAATTCGCTATCATCTCACCTACAGTTGAAGGGTTGTGGTGGGGAGTGCCGTGGCATCGCTTCGGCGTTCTGTGATGCACATGACGCCAAAAATTTTTGGGATTGCTATTTTATTTTAATGCTGTCCGGCAACGATTTGAGCGCCTATAAGGATAAATAGGTAGAAGCGCGCGCTAAATTCAAGAAATAGTATTATATTTTAATGAAAATTCGATGTTTTGATTTTTTTAATGATTGAAAATAGTTGAAAAACATTAAATATTTAATGAATATTATTTCAAAATTTTACATCATTATTGTAATTTTTACATGTGAGGCCCGGCCTCAGTTGCTTTATACGACGAGCCGCCACTGGGATAAGCATTGTCTGCGTAGCATTGTTTGCGTAGCAGAGAAAATAAGTTATAATCCACAACTGAATTTGATTGTTTGAACCTTTTGTGAGCTACTTGAAATCTAGCCTCCTGTCACCAAGCGACAGGAGGCTAGATTTTAAGAAGTTTTTTACTGCGAGTAGGACACCACCACCCCAGCATTTTGTACTATTACCTAATGGCATTTCAATCAGTTCGGTACACAGTGTAAAGCCCGGGACACATCTATCATGCATTCTTCCGATCCGACTCCGTTCATACAATCAGGGTCCTGATTCTTGGAACAGGGAGCAGCGGTCGTAGGCGTTCTCCTAGGAACGCTGCTCCCCTGTTCCAAGAATAAGGACCTTGATTGTATGATCGGAGTCGGATCGGACGAATGCATGATAGATGTGTCCCGGCCTTTAGAAGAATCAAAAAACTCGGAGTCATTGACAGATGAATCCAACCAAGTCTCAGTGAATGAAATGACAGAATAAGACTCAATAAGTGTAGCGCAAAACAAATCCTTAAGCTTTGTTTTTAGGCCTTTGACGTTTTGATAAAAGATTGATGCACATTCTAAGTCCGGCTGTCTCCCAAATCCTGCTGTTGTAAATTCGTTGACTTAATAACTAACTATTAATATTATTATTGCGAGGGCGTCGGGCTCAAAATTCCTTAACAGCCGTCCCAACGGGCCAAAGATTGGGCTCCAGCAGGCCCTTCAATAGTGATTCCTTGACCCCAATCTTGAATGATATCACATCTTCATTTTTATCCAGAATAAAGCATTTAACATCCGAAATGCCAAGCTGTTGATTCATATAATCAATTATGTTTCCTTCAGTGGTTGCAGGATCACATCGGCCAATATATAACCATTGACGTCTCTCTCCAGCCGAGAAAGGTCCATTCAAAGTGCCCGTTCCAATAATGATATAGGTCTCCCTTCTTCGAGTTGAGACCATTACAGTTCCAACTTAGTATGAGCCACATTAAAAGTTAAAACTGTGAATTTCATTGTAGAAGAATTGCATGGTGACTTGCAATATTTGCGATTTGTCACCGTTGCACTGTTTGAGGAGTGAAATGTATCTGTTTGATGCTTTGAGTAGCTCGGAAATGTTTACCAATGAGTTCAGCTCGTTCATTGTAGTAGCCAGTTTGAGAAAATTGGTTTGGTTGCCACTTACCGCTCCATTTACATTTAAGTTTGAATTTTTTTTTTATAGATATAGACAGGACAGTTTTTATTGCTGCTGCAATGTGCACCCCCGCAGTTTGCACAGCTGTCGATTGTGCTTTGGCACTCAGTTTCTGGATGTGGGCCAGCACATTTGCTGCATTTGACGATTTGATTGACTGTTTGCAGTATGTGGCCGCACGCCCTTAGCCTTGGCATCTGCGGTACTGCATAACTGGTCTTTCCGAGCAGCAGATTTCCAATGACACTCTGACATTTAAAATGACCTCTGAAAATTCATGTGTTGTAAACTGTGAAGCTGTTGTTCGCAAACGAAGCCAAAGAGGCATTTTCATCGTCTTTATCGGACATATTCCTCTTGATTGAGGGTTTAGCTCTGGGAGGAGGCGTTCTGGTTGCGATGATAGTTTTTAAGTGTTCAGAAATAAGAGGTTGAAGCAGTGTGAAATTCCAGACACACAAGCTGGTCTCTGCGCGGCGGTCGGACAGAGAGTGAATCTGCGTAAAAGGTTTTTTTCAGTTGACTTAAAGAATCTTTGCTTTTCTCTGCATGCGACCATATTCATTGACAGACTGACAAAAACTAGAAATATTGATCGTTGGACGTCCCATCCCGATCCCTGGCGGATGTTGAAAAGGTAATAGATTTCAACAGCCTACTAACTTCTAATTCACTTTTCTATGACCTGTAGAGGATTGATCAAATTGGTTTGCAAATTTCTCAAGAAATTAAGGCAAACTTCACGCACGTTATTTCTTTAGTTTCGGTTTTAGTTCAATATTGATAGTAACCCTAAAATTAGTTATTATGTTCAATAGCCTCAAATAAAATATTTCTACCTTTATTTACGTGGATTTAGGGTTTTCAATGATCTACTGATAAATAATAAATCTAAATATTTATTTATAAATTATCTTGACACATCACGCAATGTCATGGGAGAACATTGTTAACCAATCACATTGTACTGAAAAAAACAATTTCACAAATTTCTATTTATTTAGGCTGGCGCCAATATGATTGTATCCGGAACAGCGATAACGGGTGCCGCAGATCAAAGATCGGTAATTGCAAGTTTAAGAGAAACAGTGGAAAGCTCAATTCATAAATGCAATGTTTAAGTCTGCATGCATATTGTGATAATAAACAAAAAATTATAAAATAGGTGAACGAGGCTAAGGAATGATAGAATAAAATTTTTGAAATCGGGAAAGAATAAAGTACACATCTGCTGTGAATATTTTATGTCCAATAGCATCAGTTTTTTTCTTTTAGATGAAATTTTGAATAATGGTGCATATCCTATTGGTAAATGGTATTTAACAAATTATTCTGTCATTCACTTGGCCGACAAAATTTTTAGGGCAAATTGTTAACGGTTACGTACTATGTAAAAGTACTACAAATCCTATACTTTAAATTGTTAACAATCATTATTGAAAATATATACAAGTTGGTTCGAATTGACAATTAGAAGACATATTGTTACTTTTTTTTGTGTTGTTGAGTAAACCGCTTAAAAAATCAATTTTGAAAAAGTTTTTTATACAGGGTAACCCATTAAAAATGGTCATTTGCTATAAATTTATCTGTTTTCACTTTTTTTGGATTGTCAATATGTGCATGCGTACCTACTGTGGTTAAAGATGCTTTTTTTATTTTTAATCACAGTTTCATGTCTCTGCCATTGTAGACCTAAATCGGAGCTTTGGTTGAAAGTGAGGCTCCACCTTAATCATTTTAGTCAAAGAATTTTATATGTTGGCTTTAAGGGGTTCTTATTTTTTAAAACATGCATAGATTTAGAAGATTTTCAATCAGGAACTGTAACCAGTCTAGTTATGGAAAGAAATCACTGAAAGTTATCAACTTTTTTGAAATTTGAAAAAACGTGTGGGAAATTAATAGTTAAGAGGCTAGAGCTTCACATTTAACTGCGAGTCTAGAATTATTTTGAGTCTATGGTGCTAAAGTAATTATTAAAAGTCACAGGCAAATAGATTTATGAATAAATTTTAGTTGATTGCAATGATCTTAGCCCTTACGTGTTAAAAAAGTTGCTATATAAATGAGCAATAAAGTAAAAAACTTCCATTAGGCTTCTTTATCTCAAAATTGAGGGCAAAAATTTTCAATGTGAATAATTCAAAAGAGCCTTGCATAGCCAATTTTACAAAATTCGAGGCTCTCCTATAGACGTTTCCACACTATATTACTTCTGTTTTTTCTGTCTGTGACCTTAGACAATTATGTGTGTTCTAGAAAAAAATATTTTGCATTTAACTTATATATTTTAAGGGTGTTTATTTAGTTTAAATGTTGACCTACAATGGTTCATGTACAGGTGGTAAGAAGAATATATTTTCCAAATTTTTGTATGGGTTTTCCAACTGTTTACCCATATTCCTATTAATTTTAAGGGCATAACATGGGCATGAAAAACATGTGTGCTATCGACCTTATATTGTACTGTATTTTGTACAAGTTTTTCAGATGTTATGTTACTATACTACTTCTACATTCTATTTTTTATATGTTAATTTTTTAGATTTGTTATGTGGTTAAATTTTAATATATTTGCAATAATAAATAATAGGGGAATAAATTAAGACAGTGTTTTTATTTATTCAATCAAATTTGCTCATATCATCATCATCATTATCCACCTTCACATCTCCTTGCTCCTCACTCTCGGATTCAGTTACGACTGGAGCAACAAATTCCTTATTTCCAGCTTCAGGATTCAATTTGGGTCGTAGAGCAGCCAACGTTATTAAAATTGCTTCTTCGGTCCTTATAGTTTTAGAACCCTAGATAAAATTAAGCTTAACTACATCCAATAAATACTTGAAACCCAATTATACCTGTTGCGGTAAACTATTCAAATAACTATCGAACAATAATTTAGGATCATCAGCGTTTAATACCGAATCGTTTTCCAATGCCGCTTCTAAGCCTTGAACTCCACCAAACACTACTAACAAATGTTTGTACTTTGGACAAGTGAAATCATCTATTGAACTTCCTTTATCCGATGTTCCTATCGTTAAATCATATCTAAAATAGTGTATTAGTTAATATTTGTGTTTGCAAAATTTAACATTACCTTACCCTTCTTTATAGGGACACTGTGAAAATATTTTTGACAACGAATTCGCTATTCTAACGTTGTAACCCCAATAGACCCCAGTTTCACTCCTAGGCAGATTTGGAGATACTACAATGCCTTTTAGTTTTTTCAAATTGGCTTCTTGAGGCAGTAATTTCACTGTGCAACGAATACCTAAAATCAAATATTATTCAGAAGATTTCTTAGTAATTTTATTATTGATTACTTACCAGGAACAAGTACTTTATCAACTCGAAGCTGTTTCAATAAGCCAACATTCACTATTGACCCTTTACCAGCTTTAACAGGTGTATTCAAGACAACTCCTTCTCTAAACGGAAATTCATCTTTAACTCCCAAGTGATGAGGAGCATTCAAAGGATTCAACAATCCTCCATACTGTAAATCTTTATGTATGGGAAAAAAGCTTTTTCTCAGGTATTGAGGGCACTCCAAGTATTGTAAAATCCTACCGAGCTGAACGCAACTTTGCCTTGATATTTTTTCTCCATCGGCGTCGTCAAATTTGGATTTTTTTGCTGTTACTTCCTCACAGAAATCGTCAAAGACAATAATTTCGTCAGCCTGAAAAGTAAGTAGAAATCAAACTTGGTTAATTATTTGTTTATTTATTTATTTACAAATTCAATACACTACAGATTAAAATGTTCTAAATGGTACAAAGATAAAAAACAAAAACAAAAATTCACAACCAACAAAGGACATAACGAAGTGGCACAGTCAGCCTCTCCCTACAGGAAAGGCAAATTACAAATCTGTCAACATCCTCTCAACAGATACCAAACTAACAGAGAAAAGATCACAATCGTGGGAATACCTATTCAGTGGCGGATCCAGGATTTTCTTCAGGGGGGGGGGCACAGGCTAAGAATTATCAACAATGATTTTTTGAAAATTTATTTCTACTTTACTTATACGTTAAGAATGTAGAGGGTGGTCCAATTTGGATACTTTTGATCTGAAACGTCAATTTTTGAGCCAGATACATAAAAATGAACTCTCCAGTCTGCTGAGGCTCAAATTTAATGATATCTTGACTGGTGCAAACACTGCAACCCGCCTTTTGATACCCCCAACCGTTTTGCCGCTAGAGGGTGTTTCTCGATTTTGAGCGATAAGGTGAAACCTTCCTAACTTTTCTATTTATGAAAATAATTGATTTCTGTATTAATAAAAAAACCCTATACCGGGTGTTTTTCAAAACCTGCTCACCCCTATAACTTTTTTATTTTTCAAAATAAACAAATGAAATTTGGTGTGTTTATTTATCACCCGGATTTGCATTATTTGACGTATTCAATTATTTATTATCACTTCCGGTTTGACCGGAAGTGACCGTAACTTTCTTATTTTAAATGAGACGCCAGGTATATTTTTCCTTATTTCAATAGAAAACCACATTGCGAGTATAATGACACCTCATTTGTCACTTTTTGACATTTCATCTCCAAATTATTTAATTTTTTACTTTTCAATCAAGAGCGCCATGAATTAGTTAAAATGCTCAATAATTATGCTCCAAGGAACCTGGGAAAATTTGTATTGATCCTAATTTGTATTTTATATCCTCAACAGACTTATTTAAAGATAGTAGAAGCGCATTTTTGGAATTATATCAATTTTTTCAAATGGAAAGGGTATGGCTCATTAGCATATTCCGAGAGAGCATTTTCTAACGAACAATTTAGTACCACACAATCAATAGTTTATTCAAATATTGAACTAAAATTTTCCAAAAATATTTAGAATGCTAGGAAAATTCTTCATTTAAGTGATGAACTAGCGATTGTGTGGTACTGAATTGCTCATTAGGAAACGCTCTTTTGGAATATTGTAATGAGCCACACCCTTACCATTTGAAAAAATTGAGATAATTACAAAAATACACTTCTACTATTTTTAAATGACTCTGTAGAAGATATAAAATACAAAACGGGATCAGAACAAATTTTCCCAGGTTCCTTGGAGCAAAATTAAGCATTTTAACTAATTCATGGCGCTCTAGATTAAAAAGTAAAAATTTAAATAATTTGAAGATGAAATGTCATAAAGTGACAAATGAGGTGTCATTGTACTCGCAATGTGGTTTTCTATTGAATTAAGGAAAAATATACCTAGCGTCTCATTTAAAATAAGAAAGTTACGGTCACTTCCGGTCAAACCGGAAGTGATAATAAATAATTGAATACGTCAAATAATGCACATCCGGGTCATGAATAAACACACCAAATTTCATTTGTTTATTTGGAAAAATAAAAAAGTAATAGGGGTGAGCGGGTTCTGGAAAACACCCGGTATATTAATAACTCATTGATAGCTCTATTATTGCTTATTTTAATGACACATATAAGGTTTTATTTTCTACTTAACTATTATAGATCCATAAAACCTAGGAAACGAAATATGTTAACATACCTATTGTTTGCCCAGCGGATCTGAGTCTACGGAAGAAATTCGGACGTAAATGTGCCATGTTGTCACGTTTAATTATTAAAAAGCGAAAATACTAGGCATGGAGTATACAGGGTGTCCCACGGTGGATGGCGTATTAGACTTTTATGGAGAACTAAAAAGCGAATCATTTTGAAAATTTGGCAACCGGGATAAACGACCATGATCTACACTTTAAAAATATTTTTGACCATGCGGTGTTGCCGCTTCTACTCTAAACTAGTGGCAACATCACTATTTTAAATGGAACACCCCGTATTTAATTGCATATTTGGATTCTACGTAAAATTCTGAGCAGATTTCATGTGATATACCCTATACCTAAGTTCAACTGTTTTGGAAATATTGACAGTTGAAAATTGACTTTTTGCAACTTTGACAGGCTGTAAAACCTAATTGGTTAATTTTAGAGGAAAACCGATTTCACATTCCTATCTTAGATTTTGATAAACTATCATTTAACACCAACTTTGAACTTAACCAGAGATTAAATTTAACTGAAATTTTTAATCATGGATTTAATTCTAAGTTGGTGTCAAATGATAGTTTATAAAAATCTAAGATAGGAATGTAAAATCGGTTTTCCTCTAAAATTAACCGTTCAGGTTCTACAGCCTGTCAAAGTTGCAAAAAGTCAATTTTCAACTGTCAATATTTCCAAAACAGTTGAACTTAGGTATAGGGTATATCACATGAAATCTGCTTAGAATTTTACGTAGAATCCAAATATGGAATTTAATACGGGGTGTTCCATTTAAAATAGTGATGTTGCCACTAGTTTAGAGTAGAAGCGGCAACACCGCATGGTCAAAAATATTTTTAAAGTGTAGATCATGGTCGTTTATCCCGGTTGCCAAATTTTCAAAATGATCCGCTTTTTAGTTCTCCATAAACGTCTAATACGCCATCCACCGTGGGACACCCTGTAGTTCATTTCAAAATCAATTTTTTTAATAACAAAATATAGATACCAATAAAACGCTAAATATTTCAACGTGGTTGTTAGATCTATTCTTATTCTAATAACTGATTTCTTCAATTTTGTCCATTGTAAAAAATAAACATTTTCTAAAGATACCATCAGTTTTTGACAATTTGACAAGCATCCGGCCTGGATGAACCTGATTGGTGGAGTTTTTGGCAGGATGGCCGTTGCCACGGGGAACCATGTCGTTGTCAATGGGCTAACGTCACCTTACGTCTCGCTATTGACCAGGGCTTCCGTCATTGTATCCTCCCATCTTGAAATATCGATTTATATTGAAATATCCAGTGGCGGGGGTTTGGTCATTTTCGATTTTCGTGTAGGAGTTGCAATACGATAACACTTCCAAAAAATTCCGCACGCAGCTGGGTATTTTATGAATGAAATCAGCCATTTTTTTTACAATTGCATTCCCCTTACCGTTGCCCCGTAGACACAGAATCGCTGGGCAGACATTATAACAACCTGGTCCATAACGCCCGCAAAAAGCGGGCGTTATAATCTATAACGCCCGCTTACCCTAAGGTGTTTTTGTTGGTGTAGTTTTATTAATTTACACTTTACCCTAGGCAGCCACGAAATGTCTGACCGAAAATAATTTTCGGTCTAGCCAGGATTCGAACCCGGTCTACCATCAACGTTTCCCATGTAGTCCAGCGCGTTAACCTACAGGACCACCACCGTTGCCTTGGCTTATGAGATATTTATAGATAAAGTCTGTTTTTTTTTTAAAGATAAAAGTCAAAATGACATTATGTTGGCAATACAATGTAAAATTGACCTTTTGTTTGGACGCCATATTGCAGTGCGCGAACATAGTTGCCAACAGAAGAAAAAAAAATTACTAGCGTTCTGTCAACTTTAAAAACCAAAGTTAGTGAATAAATTACATTTAAAATTTAAATTTGCCGCCTATTACGAATGTTTTTGGAAAGAAAAGCCATCAATTTTAGCTTGTGTTGGGCAGAATAGAAATAATAAAATATCTACCTATTTACTTTACCAAATTTTGGTTACCTAGGTTAAGTTTGTTCGATTTAGGCCGAACCAGTGCAAAAAAAAATGTATCCTTATCCTTACATGTTATATGCTTTTAGAAAAAGATGCGGATACACTCAGTGCGCACTGACTGACAAATGGAAATCGCCATTGTTGACAGCTCGCTAGAAATTTTTGGTTTTCTTGTTTTGGCGACTATGTTCGCGCACCGCAATATGGCGTTGAAACAAAAGGTCAATTGTCAATGCTTTCAATTTTTTTATGTAGAAAAGGCTTGTGTTGCCAACATAAAATCTGTTTTTTTTTAAAGATAAAAGTCAAAATGACATTATGTTGGCAATACAACGTAAATTTGTCAATGCTTTCAAATTTTTTATGTAGAAAAGAATTGTGTTGCCAACATAGTTACTAAATTTTTGACTTGAGGAATTATCTTTAAAAAAAAAACCAGGGGGCGGATTACGAACTCTCGATTCGAACCGAAACCGCCATATTTTCGAACGCATTCTGATGGATTCGCATGGGGTGCGTTCGAAATTCATGGCGGTTTCGGTTCGAATCGAGAGTTCGTAATCCGCCCCCAGACTTTAGTTACTAAATTTTTGACTTGGGGAATTGACCTTTTGTTTTGACGCCATATTGCGGTGCGCGAACATAGTTGCCAAAACAAGAAAACCAAAAATTACTAGCGGGCTGTCAACTAGATATTTTATTATTTCTATTCTGCTCAATACAAGTTAAAATTGATGGTTTTTCTTTCCAAAAACATTCGTAATAGGCGGTAAATTTAAATTTTAAATTTAATTTATTCATTAACTTTGGATTTTAAAGTTGACAGAACGCTAATAAATTTTTTTTCTACTGTTGGCAACTATGTTCGCGCACCGCAATATGGCGTCCAAACAAAAGGTCAATTATCTTTAAATAAAAAACAAACTTTATATTAATTTATTTCGTTTCTAGGTACATGTCAAAATACAACACAATATTCTGTCTCACAAATTTAACTGATTTTGTTAATAATTAATTGATGAAAGAACATTGTGTTGAGTAGAAAATAAAGCATTGTATGCACCACGGGGATTTTAAGATTATAATGCCCTTCAGGCGAAATATGTCCCTCAGGCCAAAGGCCCTCGGGCTAGTTTCGCATTCAGGCATTATAATCTACATAATCCCCTTGGTACATAAATAGCTATAATAGGCCTATCTCTAACAGTTATCTAGAAAAAAAATTATAGATGTTTCAGTCAAGAGAAACAATGTGTTAGAAGGAGACCTATCTCATTTTAGTTATGGATATAGAGTTCTTTTTTAACACATTGTTTCTCATGACAAAACAGATATAATTTTTTTCTGGAAAACTCGAGAGGTTATTCACTAAGGGAAAAATGTGACAATTTTTCGGATTTAGAGCGATTTTGAGGGATTTCGGGTGATTTCGAAGAATTTCGATAGAATTTCGGAAAGATTTCGAGGGATAATTCACTGTGACAAGATTTCGGATTTAGAGCGATTTTAAGGGATTTCGGTTGATTTCGGAGAATCTCAGGTGATTTCGGAGAATCTCAGGTGATTTCACAAATATTTCAATTTGATTTTAGACTGTTATTTATCTCATAAGTATTTTTGAAAGTGTATTAGTATAAACTGAAAAACGGCCGCGTTGACCGATTTACGAATTTTGGGCCTATTTCGAGGGATTTTTGGGTATGCGGAATGATTTCTGAGAGATTTCGGCGGATTTCGTTCGGAGTGATTTCGTGGATTTCGGAACGATTTCGGGAATTTCGATAGGATTTCGGAAAGATTTCGGGGATTTCGGACGAATTTGTGACACGATTTCGGGGAGTGATTAACCCCTCGGGAAAACTCGAACAAAAAAGATAGACGTATCGAACTTAATCGATGGTACCCTAATCAAAAATGATAAAGAAATCTCAAACCACTTTGGTAGATTTTTTTCGAATGTCGCAGAAATAAAAATATCAAGCCATTTCGGTGCCACTGTTTCGAATCTTCCAACCACCTCGCATCTGGTCGAAAACACCATCTTCCTCCATCCAGTGACTCCAACAGAAATTACTGACATCATCATGAGTCTCAAAAACAAAACAAGTTATGGCCCTGATGGAATAAATACTAGTGTGGTAAAGAGGGTCTGTCCTGAGTTGTCTCACCCCTTAGAAGTACTGGTGAATAAATCAATCTCTGAGGGAGTATTTCCATCCAGCTTAAAACTAGCTAACATAGTTCCTGTTTTCAAAAAAGGCCTGTCAACGGATATCGAAAACTATCGACCGATATCCATATTATCCGTATTTTCAAAAATATTTGAAAAGGTACTACACAGTAGAATAACCCACTTCTTGGAAATATTTGAAATCTTGGATTGGATGCATCGCAACATGGTTTTAGATCTGGAAGATCGACGGAAACTGCTGCGTACGAGTTTGTTGAGTACTATTACCTTGCATTTTTTGGGATTTACACCTCAATTGAAATTAATACCAGAAGTTTCTTGATTTTGTATTAATTTCAATTGAGGTGTAAATCCCAAAAAATGCAAGGTAATATTATAAATCCACCTCAAACATACAGAAATTTGTTGAGTACATCCACGCACAACTAGAAGTGTGTGCCGCGAAAAACGTAGAATCGAACAGTGTATTAGTATATGAATTTCCAATGGAATTAACATGTTAAATCAATAAAATCAGGTAATGATTTTCTGTGATCGAAAATGCTAGGACCAAATAAAAATAAAAAAATATTGTTTATTATAATCTTTATTGAAGCCTATTGTTATCAGTAAATATAAAGATAGCATAGAATACAAAGTAGGAGAGTTCCCGCACTGACAACCTTATTATCTTTTGTTTCGAATGATGGATTATAGATTGAAATGTTGCAAGAAAAAAGATGTCAATAGTTTTTGTTGTAAATCATGTCTAGGAGTGTTCCATCCATCATGTATGGAAAGATATAAATCAGTAAGAGTAATTTATAGAAATACCATATATTGCTCTGAAGAATGTGCTGAGAAAGATCTGTTAATTGAAAAAGCAGAGACAGATAGAGAAAAACAATTTCAAGAAATGAATCAGGAAATTTTGGAGCTTAAACAAGAGCTTAGAGCCAAGCAATTACATATCAAAAGAATGGAAAGACGCACCCAAGATTTTGAGAACGATATATTTGAGGACGAACAACGAAGTATAGAGAAAATTAATGAACTGAATGATAGTATGAATAAATTGAAATTGGACATAGTTAAATTGAACGAGGAAAACAATGTTTTCGCCTCAGAAAAGGTTATTATGCAAGAGGAGTTGAATAAAGCGAATAAACAATACCAGGAGCTTATGGAAGTAAATCGTAATATTATTGACTCCATCAGAATATTGGAGGCTGAAAATAAAATTTATCAGAGGGAAATTGAACATTTCAAGGAGCAAGCAGAGTTGATGATTGGACCAGCCATCTCCCAGAACTCACTTATTGTGGAGGAACGCCCAGTTACACAGCCTGTTAAATCCAATATAAATGAACCAGTTTCTGCTATGAGTAATGATGAAATTTCACCAAATATTGTTATTGAAGAGAGCTGTTCGATGAGTGACATTGATGATAATAAACTTCTGCTGTTGTGTGATCAAAATGGACGCTATTTGGATGAATGGTTACGGAAGAACTCAAACTTTAAGATACAGACAATAATAAAACCTGGTGCTCTGTTCAGGAACATCACTGAAGACATTATTAATTTAGTTAAGGATTTCACATTGAACGATTATGTTGTCATTGTGGGTGGGGCAAATGATTTTTCTGGGCATAACAAGCATCCTCTCTTTAGGGATATAAATAGTAAAATCAAACATTGTAGGTACACATACAAATATTGTATTCACGTCTGTTTCAACGCAAAGAGCTAATTATAATTATAAAATCATTAAGAAATTCAACTCAAAACTTGAGGAATATTGTTCAAGACTAAATAAATATAGTGAAGGCAATGTTATGTGGTGTGATTTGGGCAACTACATGGAAGAGCAATACTTACAACTGCTGCTACAGCAAGTGCTATGTAAAAAACCTTGTAAGAATCTGATATTTGTTTCAATTTCGAAAGATGTTATCACAGCTGATATTAGCAATGCTTGCCAAAATGCACGGAATTCTTTTTTAGGCCCACTCCGCATGGATGTAGTAATAGAATAGATAAAGACAAGAGTGCTCTTGGTTTTAGTTTGATTTACTTTAATGCAGGTAGTACCTATGCACATTTTGATGAAATACATAGTTTAATAATTACTAAGAAACCTAATGTGGTATGTATATCAGAGACTCATCTAACTGAGAATATAGATGCGTCTGAGGTATTTGTTGAGGGTTACAGGTGTATGCGAGTAGATAGTGTTAGTAGGCATACAGGTGGGGTGCAGATTTATGTTGAGAATAGGATTAGAGTTATTAACATACAACAGCTGTCTCATAACAAAGATTATTGGATTTTGAGTTTGAAGATCGAAATTTACAATAAGTTATTTAGCGTTGCTTGCATCTATAGATCTCCAAGTTCGAGTAGTGCAGATTTTTTAGATTTTTTCGAGGGCTGGTATGAAGAATATATATGTGACGTTAAAACGCCAATAATTGTGGCAGGTGATTTTAATTTGAATTGGTTAATTAATGATACATATACAAATAGGTTAAGATTATATAGTAAAGAGGCAGGACTCAACCAGTTAGTTACAAAAGTGACTAGACCAGCGAATAGGGGATGTGAAGGTACGCTTATTGACCTGATTTTCTCAAATGTGATGACTATTAGTTATTGTAATGTTTTAAATACCCCTAGAATAAGTGACCATTATATTTTGTCTGTTGGTATTGAAGTCTGGAGCAAAAAAAACCAAGAGCCCTTTTTTGTTGAAACTCGTGGGAGAAATATTGACTATAGGGGTGTGCAGAAAAAACTCTTGGGTGTTGACTGGGTGTATGGTAATATTGATGTAAATGTTAAGTGTGATATGTTCCTCAATAATTGTTTGGACGCTCTGAACGAAATTGCGCCCAAGAAGCAAGTATAAATACTGGCTAAATATAAACCATGGTGAAATGAAAGAGTTGAGAATGCTGTAAAGGAGAGGGATGAATGGTACAAGAGGTATAAAGTTGACAATTTGGAGCTAACTCGTGATATATATAAACAGAAAAGAAATAATGTTGTGAGGGTGATTAAGGATGAAAAAAGGAAATATTTTGAGGCAAAGGTTGATGGTTGTAAAAGTAACCCAAAGGAAATGTGGACGGTACTTCAACAAATTATCCCTTCAAAAAATAAAAACAGTATAGAATTTGTTGAATTTGAAAATGGTGAATGTGAGAATGATAGTAGAGTAATTTGTGAGAGACTAAATGAGTACTACGTTGAAAGCATAAGGAATATTTGTGAACAAATTCCAGATACAATTGAGTTAAACGCAGATTATGATGAACAGCATGACCTCATTTTATCAGATTTCAGCCTAATTACAAGGGAAGAATTGAAAAGCATAGTATTTTCTTTCAAAATCAAAAAAAGTCCAGATGATTTGGATATTGAATTATTGAGAAACATATATGTGGGAATTGAAGATCCCCTAATAAATCTAATAAATTACTCTTTAGAAATAGGTACTGTCCCTGATAGGTTGAAGCTGTCTACTGTGGTGCCAATTCAAAAGAAACCTAATGTGAATGTAGCATCCAATTTTCGACCATTAAATATGCTGGCGGCTGTGGAAAAAATTCTTGAAAGGGTGGTATATGTGCAATTAATTGATTTTGTGGAAAGTAATAATTTGATAACAGGTAACCAGTCCGGATTCAGAAAAAAGCACAGTTGTGAAACAGCCATACAATGTGTGATCGATGAGTGGAAAAATGGCTTAGACAACAACTATGGTATAGTTGCAGTTTTCTTGGATCTTCAAAGAGCATTTGAAACTATCGATAGACAGAGACTGGTTTTGAAATTGCATAAACTGGGATTGCGTGGAAGAGTATTGGAATGGATTGATAGTTACCTGGTGGATCGTAGGCAAGTAGTTAGGTTGGGTAGGGAGATATCAACTGAGAGAACTAATAACTATGGTGTACCTCAGGGCAGTATACTGGGGCCTTTATTGTTTGTTCTATATATCAATGATATCGTAAATGCGGTGCATCCTCCGGTTAATGTTCATCTGTTTGCAGATGACACTCTGGTATACTCTGTATCTAAGAATGTGAATGAATTGGTTGAAAGTACTAATAATGCTCTGGATAATCTGTACAATTATATGTGTGTGAATAAGTTGAAGATAAATGCATCAAAAACAAAATCTATGGTTGTCATACCAGAAAAAATGAGAAGGGCTTTTGGTAAAGACAAATTTGATATACGTATTGATAGGTATCCTATTGAGATTGTTAGAAAAATTAAGTATCTGGGAGTAATAATTGATGATCAGCTGACATTTGGGGAGCATGCCAATTCAATTATAAGCAAATTGAGCTACAATATTAGTCATCTAACAAGATGCAGTAACGCAGTCCATATTTGAGTTTCTGGACTAAATTTGTTATACATAATACACTTGTACTACCACATATTAATTATTGTGCAAGTATTTTGTTTTTGTTAAACCAGAATACATTAGGAAGAATACAAAAAATGCAGAATCGTGCAATGAGGGTGATTTTGGGATGTAACAGATACACTTCAATCCGTTCTATGCAAGAACGTTTGCAATGGTTGCCTGTTTCTGAATATATTAAGTACAGTGTTATGGTTTTTATTTTCAAGATAAAGAATGGTCATGCCCCTCAATACTTAATGGATAAAATAATTTATAATAATGAAATCCATAACTACAGTACACGTCAGCAAAACGATTTTTTCATAGCACCAAAAAATAAAAAGTCTGGTCAAAATACGCTATTTTTTAGGGGAGTCGATCTATACAATAAATTGCCCGCTGTGATAAAAACATGTGATTCAATGTATAGTTTTAAGAAACAGCTGAAAGTTCATTTGCTGAGAGAAAATAATTTGTATGTACCTTGAGATGGTTAATTATTGTTCTGATTTGGATTGATTTTTGTTTTTTAAATTGTTAACTTTATTGTAAGGATGACTGGATTTGTAGTCTATAGTCTATGATTGTTAGTTTTAATAAGTAATGTGATTTTGATATTTTGTGTTAGATTTTAGAATAAGACGGAACCGGTATATTGTAACATAGAATTAGTATATTGTGCTAAATAAATGACTAAATAAATAAATAAACAAAATCGTAATTGGATTGTTTTTTGACCTGTCCAGAGCATTTTACTCTCTCGACTTAGTTTTTGTCAGGTTAAAATTGGAATCCATTGGAATTCGAGGCAAGGCACTCTCTTTGATAATGTCCTTCCTATCAGAGCGAAAAATACTGGTGAGACTGGGAGAGGATTTGTCAGACACTCACTCTGTTAATATTGGAGCACCCCAGGGCTCAGTGCTGGCGCCGCTGATCTTTTTGCTCTTCATCAATGACCTAAAACTACCTGGCCTTACAATTAAGTTTGCGGATGATACAACTGCAGCTATATCAGCTGATAATGAAAAAGAAGCGATGAAGAAGTTGGATGAAATTTGTGACCATATGAGTTCCTGGTGTTTTAGAAATAAACTTATTTTCAACAACTCAAAAACAGTAACCTTACATTTTCATAACTCCAAACCGAAAATTGAGCTCAAGGAAACCGAAAAAGCTGTAAAATTTCTAGGAATTTATCTTGACAAACAACTTCAATGGCACATCCAAGTGGATCATGTATGCTCCAAACTCAATTCCGCCTATTTTGCCCTACTCAAGCTTAGACAAGTCGTCGAAAGACACGCGCTATTGTCAGCTTACTATGCCCTAGCCTACCACAACATGTCTTATAATATCATTCTATGGGGACAAGCTGTTGGAGTGGGTAGAGTATTTATCATCCAAAAGCGGATAGTAAGGTTAATATATGGCCTTAAACCACAGGAAAGCTGCAGTCCAACCTTCAAGGACCAAAAACTACTTACTCTTCCGTCCATCTATACAGTGTGTATCAGCCAAATGGAATAAATTCGATAATAAATAAATGGGAAACTTTTCAAAAAAAAGCTCGAACACGTCAATTTTGTTTTTTTGCTTGAGATTTTTTCACACCAATTTTTTTATACAGGGTGTTCCAAAAACAGCTGTACCGTTATCATGTTTCGTTTTTTTAATGGTACCCCCTGTATATTATGACATTTCTGGATTCTGCGGAAAATTCTAGACATATTTCATGTACAATGTCATATACCTATCTTCAACTGTTTCGGAAATATTGACAGTTGAAAATTGACTTTTTTGCATCTCTAACAGACTGTAAAAGCTAAACGGTTGATTTTAGAGCGAAACCGTTTTCACATTCCTATCCTAGATTTTCATAAGCTATCATTTGACAGCAACTTTGAATTTAACTGGATATTAATAATTTAAGCGAAATTTCTAATCATGGATTAAATTCAAAGTTGGTGTCAAATGATAGTTTATGAAAAACTAAGATAAGAATATATGATCGGTTTTGCTGTAAAATTAACCGTTCAGGTTTTACAGTCTGTCCAAGATGCAAAAAAGTCAATTTTCAACTGTCAATATTTCCGAAACAGTTGAAGATAGGTATATGACATTGTACATGAAATATGTCAAGAATTTTTCGCAGAATCCAGAAATGTCATGATATACAGGGGATACCATTAAAAAAATTAAAGTTGATAACGGTACAGCTGTTTTCGGAACACCCTGCATAAAAAAATTGATGTGAAAAAATCTCAAGCAAAAAAACAAAATTGACGTGTTCGAGCGTTTTTTCGAAAAGTGCCCCATTTATTTATTATCGACTGTATATACAGGGTGGGGACTTTAACTGGAACTGGGGACTTTAACTGGAACTAATTCGATAGAGCCTTCGGATAAAATATGTGGACAAACGCAAAACCACGTCGATTGAAATTTTTGCCCAAGATTTTTTCACCTACATTTTTTTTATACGGGGTGTTCTAAGAACAGCTGTACGGTTATCAACTTTATTTTTTCAAACAGTAACCCCTGTATATTATGACATTTTTGGATTCTGCGGAAAATTCTAGACATATTTTATGTACAATGTCCTATACTTATCTTCAACTGTTTCGGAAATATTGACAGTTGAAAATTGACTTTTTTGCATCTTTGACAGACTGTAAAACCTAAACGGTTGATTTTACAGCAAAACCGATCATACATTTTTATCTTAGTTTTTCCTAAACTATTATTTGACACCAACTTTGAATTTAATCCATGATTAAAAATTCCGTCAGCCGGTCAAAGTTGCAAAAAAATCTTAATTGACGTGCTTTTGCGTTTTGTCCTCATATTTTATCCGAAGGCGCTAGCGAATTAGTTCCAGTTAAAGTCCCCACCCTAAGTGTGCTATATAAAAACAAAGATTTCTAAAAAATGGAGAAAATCATCTATATTCTACCAGGAAAAGCAAGGAACTTAGCCTTCCACTACATAGCACTGCTTTATTTGAGAAGTCTCAATATGCATGTATAAAGGTCTACAATAGACTACCAGGAGAAATAAAAACTGAACAGACTGAAAAAAGATTCAAAGATACATTGAAGCAATTTCTCTGCGAAAATTGTTTCTATTCTTTTAGTGACTTTATGAATAAAAATGTAAATGTGAATGTTTAATACTATGTCTCTCTACGTCAACACAATCTAGTCTCTCTATGTTATACAATAATTATTGTGACTGTTTATATACTAAATTTATTGAAATACTTGATGTTATTATTGTTAGTTTTTTATTATTAAGTACCTACTATTATTTTTTTATTGTTACTATATTTTTTACTATTATCATGATTCAATCTTGTGACAAAGCCACATTTACATTGTAAATCTAAGGTGAATAAAATGAAATAAAAAAACAAAAATAAAAATAAAAAAACAATATCAACTTCAACAGATTCCGCTGAAGAATTTGTTCGGAAATATATTCAGAGAAGAGAAATACAAAACAACCTAGGACGGTCCTGCCTAGGGCCCCATACACTACGATGAAACACGACTGTTTTCATCACCACGATGAAACACATTCTAAAATGGAAGTGTGTAATAGAAAAACACGACGGTTTTCTACAAGGGCCCCACAGACTACGATGAAACACGACGGTTTTCATCGCCACGATGAAACATGTCGTTCCAAAACCGAAGTGTGTGGTAGAAAACCGTTGTTTCATTGTCGGTTGAAAATCCAGTCGGAGCTTGATTTTTGGCACGACGGTTCAACATTTTGTACACACAAACGGTTTTCTACCACACACTTCGGTTTTGAAATGACATGTTTTATCGTGGCGATGAACACCGTCGTGTTTCATCGTAGTCTGTGGGGCCCCGTAGAAAACCGTCGTGTTTTCCTATCACACACTTCGGTTTTAGAATGATGTGTTTCATTGTGGCAATGAAAACCGTCGTGTTTCATTGTAGCGTATGGGGCCCTCAATCCTTTTCTAACTAATAAAATTCAACAAACCTGTCAAAGTTTGTTTACTTTCACTATCTCGTTTCGTGAAATGAACTTTAATACATGTACAGTTTGTTTTGTGCATAAAGAGGATAACTTGGTTGCTATCAGAGATTATTGGAGTTAGAAAGATGCTGTTTTTGCGAACGTCGGCTGGTCCAATAGCAACCGAGTTATCCCTTATGTACAAACAAAATCACCTTATACATCTACCTGCCTAAAAATTTATGTCAAAACTACTTACTTGAAAGAGACAGGCAGCTCTTGCTATCTGGCCAGCCAAATAGCTTCTCAACTGCGGCGTTTGAGCATTCTCCAGTATCGAACCTGGCACCGCTATGGATAAAGTCGAGACAAATTGTGGTGTCAACCTTGCCGTATTCGCGATATCGTTTTGCTGGCTCTCGGCCTTAAGTTTTCGCTTTTCCAGTTTCTTTTCCAAGTTTATTTCTTTCCATTTTTTTCGTTCTTCCTTTATGGTTTTGTTTGTTTCGCTCCAGCTTCGTTTTTTCGTGGACGAGACGTCTTTTTTGGGTTCTTCCATTTCATTCAGTTTCAGTTATGTTTCAAATGAAAAGTAAATTCTTTATTGAGAAATAAAAACGAAAAACGTTTTTCACAGGAAAAACACAGTAAAGGATAATGCAGTGAGGTTATGTTATGTTCCAAATCAAAACTTCAAACAAAAAAAGGGAGTGACTACTGCACTGTCCAGACAGTGATGACTAAAAACTATCTGCACTGACCGACCAGACAGTGCCAACGGAAATCTATCTGCACTTTCCAGACAGTGCCGGGAGTGCTGACAAAAAGTAAAAACTACCTAAAAACCATCTGCACTGTCCAAATAATTTCATTATTATATATCGAACTATAGTTATGTTCTAAATGATTTGCATTCCTTGCTGGAATTCAGTGTATTAGGCAATTCAATCCATCTGTCAAAAAGGAAAATTCAATGTGACGTGGCGGCCAAGCAAGTTTGTTTTGAATATGTTTTCATGCGTATTTTAAATTATTGTGCTTACAGTTTTGCTTACAACTTTGATTTTCATTATTTAATAAAATATTTGTTGACTAGGTACCTAAACTATTAATTCGGGCAGAAACTAGACATTTTTTTGTGTTTTTTGGCCCATGTGTGGCCGCCACGCCATCTTGAATGTCACGTGGTTTGAATTGCCTAATTAATATTAATAAAAAAGAACAACCTGATTTCTTCTTGAGGTGCCGTTTCAACTGCAGACCTCAACTCTTGGTCGTAAAATGCATTAATCGAGTTTAAAACAGTATAGGTCAAAAAAACGAATTCCTAAACATCATAATCTTGTTAAAGTCACCTTTTCTACACGTGAATTCGACAGAAAAAGAAGCACAACCTGAATCGCAAGCATCCAGTCGAGGCCTGCGGTTGACGTCACCACTATAAGCTGCTAATAGTAGCAACGTCACTCGCAGGCCTTCCCTACTCGAGCATTGGCGAAAGTACGCCTTAAGGCCGGGACACATCTATCATGCATTCTTCCGATCCGACTCCGATCATACAATCACGGTCCTTATACTTGGAACAGGGGAGCAGCGTTCCCGAGAACGAGTGTTCCGTCTTCGTTACTCATATTTGATATTATCAGTTGCATATAATTGAGAAAGACGAAACACTCCTTCTCCTGGGAACGCTGCTTCGTGTTCCAGGAATAAGGACCCTGATTGTATGATCGGAGTCGGATCGGAAGAATGCATAAGCCCGGGACACATCTATCATGCATTCTTCCGATCCGACTCCGATCATACAATCAGGGTCCTTATTCTTGGAACAGGGAGCAGCGTTTCCAGGAGAACGAGTGTTCCGCTGCTCCCCTGTTCCAAGAATAAGAACCTTGATTGTATGATCGGAGTCGGATTGGAAGAATGTATGATAGATGTGTCTCGGCTTTTATGAGGATGAGCAATCCTGTCAGTTTACGATTTTTGGTTTGGGCAATGGCTTAATAGCTTTCCTTTCCCTCAAATTATCAATAGTAATATAACTAGTGCAATGGAAATTATTGATAATTTTTGGGAAATTTGCCCGAATGCATTTTTAGTTGAAAAACAGCACGAGTGCACGTAGTGCAAGAGTGCCTTTTTCAGTTAAAAACGCATGAGGGCAAATTTGTCGAAAATTATAAATATATTTCCATTGCACGAGTTGTATTTGATGAGAGAATTTCATAAATCAAAAATTTAAATTTTTTGTCAAAAAATGTCAAAACACCAGTTTTCGCGCCAGTTAGTATGCAATTATCTGATAATTTGCACTAGTGCAAATTATCGCGTAATTGACGTGTCTCGCAGAAAAAGAAAAAGAGAGCTTAATTGTAATAAATATAAATTGGAAAGTGATAAAAAATGACATGCGCGCGCAGCTCGTGGCTGCAGTGTAGCCAGATTGTATTGTTGCAGAACAAATGTAGACAATACAAATTCAACATTATAACATTGAAGAAGTGATATATTGTCAAGTGTTTCACAACGCCTTAAATCAGACAAAAGAAGAGCTTTAAAGTGTATGTTAACATCGATGGCCTTTTATTTTGATAAATGTTTCATCCGGCAACACCGCGCAATGAAATTGCAAAGGAATATGTCAAATATAATCTAACATAACCTTAAACCACACTGCGGTGAAATCAAGTAATACGTAAAGTATTAGTTTGCTCTTTGTTGAATTACACGTTACAAAGAAAGAAGGAACGATTAATTCTGAACTCGTCCCTGAATACGAATATGACGCAAGCCTGTGACAAACTCGATTTTCATTGGACGCTCACCTGCAACCCACAAGTTGCGCGCGCACACCATGTATTACGAGACACGTCAATTACAATCTGATTCGTTCAAATCAACAATCAAAACATGTCAATTTATTGTTGGAATACCAGTTTTGACAGATGTATGAAATTCTCAATTTTATTTCCTACTGAACTATTATAACCATATAAGACCTTGGTTACGATAATCATAAACAGGGTCTTAACTTCCAAGGGAGTTAAGGATTTCATAACTCCCGCGCGGGAGTTAAGGATATCATAACTCCCAATGGAGTTAAGGATTTCCATAACTCTCGCTTTTACCTTGACAGAGCTGGGCAAAGCCCTCAGTAAAAGGGTTTGAAGCACTAAGCCCCAAGCCCTCTATCAAAGTGCTTCAATTTCAAGCACAAATTCCTTTTTAATTTTCAAAAGTGCTTGACAAGCACAAAGCCCTCAAAGTGATTTAGCTCTTTAAATGTGCTTGAAGCTCTTTAAATGTGCCTAAAGCACTTTTAAATATATATTTAAATATAAAATACCGCGTAGACTCACCACACAGAATTGGTATAGTAGAGACGAACTTTACATTTCACAGAGTAGCAGTAGTATGTTTTTTTTTGAGATGTAGTTCTGGGGTACTTGGGGTACTACATGGTAATTCAATTTCAAGGTTTTCAAAATGTTCAATGGGGAAAAGTGGAAAAAATCCAGTGATAAAGTTAAATAGGTTACCAATATAAATTAATTATTTATTTGAATAATAGAGAGTTATTGGACGTGCAATAAGAATAAGCAGTATTTAAATTAGCCTTATTTTGACATCTACGCATGCGCATTTAGGTCCGAAAATAAGGATTCCCTTAATAAGGTTACTGCTTGTGTTTATTTGTGTATGGTTAGTGCAAGGCAGTAAACTTCCCTTATTTCAAATTTCTGACATTTTGAACAACTTTTCGACGATGACGTAATAATTTTACTTAGAAAATTTATTTTTTACAATAGTTTTCTATTTTACTGTGGATAACAACAAAAAATGGGTATCAGCAGAAAATCACAAACAAAAATAAATACTTTTTGAGACTGAAATTTATAAACATAGCTATCAGCAGTCAAAATTATGTATACAAAATAAGGTAATACTCTAGCACCTACTACTACAGTCTTCCAATAACTGTTTTTTTCTTGGAAATATAGTGCTGATGCACTAATAAAATATTGTAAATCCCCTTCAGCAACTGGCGCTTCATTTATGGAAATAATTACTGGCGGAGGAGTGTGACTCCGCATACTATATTTCAGGCGATTATCAAAATATTATTATAGTTTTCCATTTATTTAATAGTAAAACGTCGAAAAGAAGTAAAAAACTTTTATTTTGCTGCTCAAAAATAAATCAAAATCAAACAAAATGCTTACATTGCGGAAACTTATATAAATTACTGTATAATAATAAAAATATTCAAAATCAACGAAAGTATTCATTCAACAAACAAAAATACATATAAGCATATACATTAAAACTGTTCGGAATAACATTCAGTGCATAAACATGTCAAATGTTCAAGGCACATAAACTTTCCACATCTCTGACAGGAGAAACGTGTTGGCCGATTCTTTTTTCTGTCGCAGTATCTGCAGCGGCCTCTTGTATTTGGCGGAGTAGTAGGTACAGGAATAGCTATTTCAAGAATTTCTCTTATTCTGGATGGTATAGTCCGGGGAATATTACTTAGAGATGCACGAAAACGAAGATGATGTTCAGCCAACTCGTACGACAGCAAATGCAAAAATTTTCGGCGTGTAATATTTTTGTCTGGATTTTGCAGATTGAAGAATACCATGGAATTCACTCCAGCTATATTCAGCATTGAGTAAAAAATAACCATTGGCCATCTTCGTGTGTTTCGCGCACAATCATAAGCTGCACACATTTTGTCTAGAGTGTCTACCCCACCTTTTGTATCATTATCAGTGGCGGTCCATAGATGACGGGAAAATCATTAAGTGTCGAATGGCTTCCCGCCGGAGGCTAAATTTTTTTAAGGGTGCCACGCCCAAATTTGCACCTGAATGCCCGATGCCGGCAAAATAGTTATACAGGGTGTTCACTTAGTAGACGATATCTCCTTCCAGGGTAATGCAAGAAAAAAAAATTAAATTACAAAGTTGTTTGATACTCTAAGATCCATTAGTAGTTTAAAATATTTTTGAATATACACAGGGTGTTCCGTAAATGAGGTATGTGACAGACCTTTGTTATTTTAAATGGAACACCTTACATTTTAGAACATTAATGGATTGTTATAACAATCCTATATACTTTTTCTTAGGAATTACCTATACTAATGGGTCAATTATGTGCCCATCTGTGAGCAAATCTATAAATTTCTATAAAAACTCGACCCTTTTTGAAATATTTGAAACTTTTTCAAAAAATCGGCGTTTGCACTAACCCAAAAAGTGGGACACTCGACTGACAGGTCTTGTAATTTTGCATAAATCAGTCTATTTTGCATAAATCAGTCTTTTCTCTACAATGGATTTTTTGTCAAATATGACAATTCCTGTCATTGCCTTAAGTATAGCTTTACAATAGGAAAAAACGGGTGTCCCACTTTCTGTGCTCACGACTGATAATTTATTGCATAATATTGATCATAAATTTATTTACTGTATAGAAATCAAGCCAATAATCGGATTGAAATTTGAACCCATCACAAGTTACGAACGCCTAGGCTGTGACGTCATACCGGCTTCGGAAGTACAGTTTTAACACGTGTAAGAATTTTTCAAAACAAATGTCCACGATCTCATTAGAGCGAATGGCAA